ATAGAATATCCCAGACGGAAAATTTTCCGTCTGGGATATTCCGTCTGCGATATTTCATTTTCTACTAGTGAAAGTAGTATATTGAACCAACTCTGTTTATGTGATAGATGTGAATGCAAATGTAGCTTCTTGCTTAGGCAAAATCTTGAAGATCTTGATAGGAGATCTTTCATGAAATTTTCTTTCTCTCATGAAATTTCCTTTCTTTCGCAAACGCAGAAAGAACTTAAGATTTAAGACTGATGGTAAATTTTGTTGCTTTGTCGTATGTTTCATGGTACTCTACCAACTTCTGTTTAAATGTTCTCTCTTACGGGCGTCCACTTTATTCATTAAAGAAGCAGCAACTGTGAGATGATTTTTAGGGGTCAATGGTGTTAACGCCAAATTAAAGCAACAATGTCAGGGATTTGAAAGAACATGCTAACAGATTGTTGGTTGATGATGGTCATGCGGCTTTTTTGTAATGGGATCTGATATTCAAGGACAAGGTTAGTAGAAGTTTTAATTTCAAGTTATCTTCTTTTGCGAATTGGCTCAGTTAGTTGTTTAAGCAGGATTCTGTGTCTGTGGAGATGTGTTTCTTCTCTTCAGTATATATATTCTTTTCTTAATTTCTAACTTTCATCATTTCCAGTAACTGATTAGAAAAATTCCTCAAGGACCCAAAATATGGGACCAATAGAGGGGACAAGTGAGGTGTCCCCCTCCTATTGGATAATGAGTTGGTCATCATTAATGATAGTCAACTCATTATCCAATAGGAGGAGAACACCTCACTTGTCCCCTCTATTGGTCCCATATTTTGGGTCACTGTAGCAACACTCAACTGATTAATGTTAGGTATACTTTGGAATTTGGATGGATGAAATTAATGCTGGTTTCTTATAATATAAGCCGCTCATTTTCTTTTGTTTTCGATTTCCGATTGAATCACACAATTATTTAGATGAAGTTTACACGATTATTTACTTGAGACCTTGTATCGCTTTCTTAAAAAAAATCAAAATTAAATGTCAGTTAGTCAGCGTTTATCATGTACCGTACCTATCGCTTCTTATATTCTTTGCGTCTGAGCTTTACCTTTTCATATGATTCTGATCAAAATAATTTTGGTCACCAATCAAACCCTTGAGTATTACTAATTAAATATGTGTTACTGGTGGTTGTTTCCTCAGGACAAGCTACATTTCTGAATTTCCATACTATCCTAGCTTCTTATCTTGAAATTGCTCCAGATTTTACTGCGTAGATTCCTTAGATTGAATCAAGTTGTCTTTAACATGAACCATTTTTCATTATTTCTTGAGATGTTACTATTTGATAAATAATAACTAATTAAACGTGTTTTGGGTCGATATCATTTTGACTCCTGATGCTTGAATAATGATGCGTAGGTTCTATATATAAAGCATTAGAAGAGAAGAAAACTTACGCGTACAACAAGGAGATATTATGTAAAATGCAGATTTAACATGATTCTGTGTTAAGTGAAGTTTTACAAAGATCGATTGATGTTGTGTAATAGAACAGCGTTGTGTAAGGTGTCCTTGGTGGCCGCTTAGGTGGCGCACTTGTCCTAGACGCCCTCAGCTAGCTAGGCTGCTGTGGGTGTGCGGAGATGGGCGCTTCGATGTGGGAGGGCCCACTTAAGCAGCCGAACAAAATTAAAAAAAAATAAAGGTCCCAAATCCAAACACTTGAACAAAAACCCAATAAACCCAACTCTAGTCGTAAGAATCGTCTTTCTCAAACAACCCCTTGTATTCTTTTTCTCACATGAAACCTTCCCCTTCTTGTGTTCGCTAAGGGGGTGTTTGTTTCATTTTTTTGGATGTAGCATGGATTTTAAGTTTTGGGATGCAAAAAGTGATTTTTTTGGGTTTTGGTATTCTATAAGCTTGTTTGTTTAAAAAAAAATTAGGATATTGAATCCCCAAGATATAAAAAAGTAATATATTTTAGGATTTGTGAAATCCTCTTATTTAGGTGGGATGTGGGCTGGATTTCTGACAAACACTGCCAGCTCATTTCTTCTCATCTTCCGAAAACCAAAATCCCTCGTTCCCATCACCGCTTCGGTTCTTCTCCCTCCTTTTTTTATCCGCCACCTCCTCACTCTGCTACTCCCGTCACCGCTCGTGGCCCTCCTCTTTAATGCCCCCCACCTCCAAAAATGTTTCGCCACCTCTCTCTCCTCTCCAAGCTCTCTCTCCCCCATGCTCCCTCCATCACCAAAACCCTAGCTCCCTCTCTCATTCCTCTCATCAAAACCCTAGCTCCTCAACCTTCATACGTTCCCAATACCATCTCTAGATCCCCTTACAGTTCAATGACGATGAGGTCGTTACCCAAGATGAGCATCTTGAGCCTGAACGATGAAATTTGGGTTTGAGGGAGGGCAGACTCCGCTGAGGCGTCGGTTGCCCAAGCGAGGGTTTAAGAATCGATTCAGTCTTGGGTTTCAGGTGAGTTTTTAGGGTTAATGTGTTTTTTGTATTTTACTGAATGATTTCGTGGTTTATAATCAGTGAAGTGGTTGGTGAGTAGTTTCAGTGTTAGGAATAAGAAGAAGGATTTTGAAATGTGGAGAAATATGTTCTATTGTTGTTGGAAACCTGTCTCTGTAAGTTTTATTCCTACTTGTTATTAGTATGTATACAACAAACAAAGTAGATCTGTAATTTAAGTACTTTATGTTGAAATAATATTCAATTTCTTTTCACAACAGCCTGTTGGATTCGGACAAATCGCAAAGCTGATAGCAACCTGTATTTCACGATATGTATTGGTATGTCTACTTTGTATTATTCAATTTGTGCAATGATGATGGTCTTAGTTATGAGAATGCAATCTACAATGTTTTTCTATGTTTAGGTAGGGTAATATAAGATGAGAATGCAACCTACATTGCATTTACAATGTTAGGTGAGGCAATCCATTCATGTGATTGCAACCTACATTTCATTTACAATGTTAGGTGAGGCAATCCATTCATGTGATTGTAACCTACATTGCAATATCATTGTTAGATGAGGCAATCTATGTATTCAATTTTAATACGTATAACTGAGCCCCTACCTTGGTCCTATTATGAGTTTTCTAATGGTTACTTGTCTGAGCATGTTTGATGGCTTGTGAGCATGCTTGTTACTAACCATGTCAAGTGCATATTTCACTACTTTTGCCAACCATGTTTTGCATACTTTGATGGCTTGCTTGTTTGCTTACTTTCTGGTTACATGATCTGGTCTGCGGTTTGGTTTGTTTCATTCTTGCATACTTTGATGGTTTTCTTGTTTGTGTACTTTAACCGATTCAATTGCTTTATTTTATACATGCCAATCACATATTTATATGGTTCACAAAATTGACAAAGTTTCCTCAACATTTAAAAGTAAGTCACCATATTTTTAGCTGTGTTAAGTATATGTAGTTCAAGTTTTCCAATGTTCATCGATAAAATTGAACACCAATTGACTTACGTGGGAAATCCTTACCTAAGTTTCTCTTCTACCTTTATACTTTTTTGCTTTTCTAACCAATCTGAATCGCATAAGCATTCAAGCTATCATTATCCTAATCTTTCTTCAAATTGCCATGTTGCCTTGTGCAAATCTCAAGACATCCTAGGAGCATTCATTATTTCAAATCGCATAAGCATTCAGGCTATCATTATCCTAACTTCACCCATATGCTGCCGGTTAAACTTTACTGTCTTAGATGATTATCATGGAGGATATTTGCATATTAGTTTTATTTTCCTTAGATTAGGCTTAATTCTCTTGGTTGTTTTTGATGGCTTACTAATTTGGTTGTTTCAGTTTAAGTTTGTTGTTGAGCTTGGTTGCTTGTGAGCTTGTAAGCTTGCTTGTTTTCCATGGTTTTAGTTTCAGTTTCAGTGTCGTATGTATCAAAAGCCTTATAAAAGAAGGTTTGTTGGACGAAGCTGATGATTTGTTTTGGTCGCTTGAAAAATGTTGTTGCTCATCAAATTCTACATTGCTTAATGTAATGGATTCTATTGTGCATGTACTATTGTTTACTCTAGCTCGGATATGCAGTATTGGAACTTATTTTAACTGATTCAATTGCTTTATTTTATACATGCCAATCACATATTTATATGATTCACAATTATGTTCCATTCAAGTTCTAAAGATAGTCAAGATTTAGAATGAAATTGGTCAAATAGATTCAATGTTCTTCATTTAAAATTTCCTAGTTTAACAATTCTGCATATTTATTACTTATTATGTTGTTACTTTCCTAACTCAGTTTTCTTCATTCTGTTTGCTATCTCACTATGGTTTACAAAGTACTCGGTAAAAAAGAAAAGGAAGGAAGATTCCCAGTTTAGCTATTGTATATATTTATTATTTGTTCTTACTTATAGAGTTATTTGGTGCTGGTTACTTGGTTGTTCAAGTGAAACTGAGTTTGTTCAAGTGTTTGTTCACTACTAAAAAATAAGGCATCCTAGACGGAAAATTCCGTTTAGGATACACAGAATTCCGTCTAGGATGAGTATCCTAAACGGAATCTCGTCTAGAATACGCGTCTAGAAAGTTTTCGTCTAGGATGTAGTATCCTAGACAGAAATTTCGTCTAGAATATATCCTAGACAGAATATTCTAGACGGAATTCAAAACCGTCTAGAATACATCCTAGAATGATTATTTTAGACGAAATTTCCGTCTAGAATACTACACCCCAAACGAAAAAAAATTCCGTCTAGGATGAGTATTCTAGACAAAAATTTCCGTCTAGGATACTCATCCTAGACGGAAATTAATGTTTTTATTTTTTATTTTTTTTAAAAAGAAAAAAGCATCCTAAACGGAATTTAAACATCCTAGACGGAATTTCCGTCTAGAATGCTATGCTACAGTAGTTTTTTTTTTGCAGGATTTACTTTGAGTACATGTACACAATATTGAACAACAAAAAATTATATTCATATTCAACACAATCTAGTTATATTCCAATATCAAATTCAATTATATTCAAATAATACATTCATCAAAATAGTAGAGAGATACATAAATTTTTTACAAACTTTTACATAAATTAATGCATCTGCAGTCAACAAATGATACAAGGTTGATTGAACATGACTGACATGTTACATTGCATCTTAAGCGCCAGATATCGAGTTCCCTCTCCTCCAAATCTGATCGAGAAGCAAATTTGCTGACTGATTGGAAGCTTTGCGCAAATATGTATAAACAGAACAAGCACAATCCTGCTCAAGATACTCCCCAAAAAGAAATCAATTAGAAACCGCTCAGTCCTCTTCCTGAAATTCAAATAATACATTCACCAAACTAGCTCCTATCCCTATATATACACCAACAGAAGTATTACCGACACAAATGCAAAAACTCAATAACTATACCCAAAAGTTTTTTTTAAGTTTACCTCTTTGAGAGGCGGTCTCTCTTAGTCCTCTTCCTGAAAGTATCAAAGTCTGCGCTAATTCTAAGGACGCGATCCCTTTCAGTGGATAGCTCATCAGAAATAACAGCAACTTTGTTCCCAAGAGAGTTTTTCTCATCTTCAATTGAGTGAAGAGGATAGCTCATCAGAAATAACAGCAACTTTGTTCCCAAGAGAGTTTTTCTCATCTTCAATTGAGTGAAGAAAGGCCTCGAGTTCTGCAACTGTAGATGTTGTTCCCAAGAGAGTTTTTCTCATCTTCAATTGAGTGAAGAAAGGCCTCGAGTTCTGCAACTGTAGATGGTCACCATTTGCCAAAGCTTCTTTACATGATTATAGTGACGCCATAAAAAGTGAAGCTGTTTTTCCTTCTTTCTCGGCAATATCATCACCGTTTACAGCATTCTCTTTAGAAGATTCATCTTCTGAATCTTCCTGTTAACATAAAGAGGCAAAGACATTAGCAATGAAAAATATAAGGATGTAAACAAAAATACTCATCACCAGAAACCAAAAGCATTTTGAGATAATCGACTGAAGAATACATTTGGTACAACTTTCAAATGCCCTGACTGATCACATACTCGAGAGTATAAACTTGATAAGACCTCGAAACTATTAACAGAAGTGTATCACTAGCTACCCATCATGCCCTAATACATACACAGAACAACAACATGTCGGTTTTCTTCTTCCTATATGGCAGGCTATCCATTATTACTATTTTACAATTAAGAAAATTCAAAAGTTAGCATAGAAACCGTCCCAGCATATATTTTTGGTGAATCATAGGCATTTGGAGGTTTAAAATAGCAAATATGCCCATTGCATCAGAGGTTAGAGAGGGCATGTATAAACATGTAGTCCGGAATATTAAACCAGTTGTCAGAAATGATAAAAACATGATAAAGAACTTCAGATATGAAATTATGCACACATCAGAAATGAATAGCGGGGAAGAGATGAGACAGATGACAACATCCAATATAAGGAGGCAAGCCAGAAATTATTTATCAAACATATGAAAGCAGATACTAAGAGCCATTTTTCAAACTTAATAGATAAAAGTTCAAGTTATGGCTTAGATTGGAATTGAAAGAGCTGTGGAAAACCAATCCAAAACCCTCTTCCTTCTTCGCTTTGAGTAACTTCGAGCCAAAATTCCCCATCCGAAACAAACTGCGCTTTACAAGACTTGTTCTGTTGCTCGATTCGAGGTTGAAGACTCCGGGGTTCGCTGCGGCCCATGAATTTGGCGGGAAAGCTGGGCCGGCGACAGAAAAGAGACGGGTTTTTGGTTGAGAGCGGGGAGTTGAGGATGAAGCTTGAGTTTTTCCGAAAGGGGGAGTGATTGGATGAGGGGATTGAGGGAGTTCCGATGACGATTCATAACAAAACACATGAAACTGCAGAAAGCTATTTCTGAATTGTATACTATGGTCTTGTACCCCATATCATAGGAGGAAATCAAATTATCTGCATCTATATAGGCCTGATAGCATCTGTATGGTCTTGTACCCCATATCATAGGAGGAAATCAAATTATCTGCATCTATATAGGCCTGATAGCATCTGAAAAAAAAATAAAGTAACATCATAAAAATCAATTCCTACTTTAAGCCTACAGTGCAGTTGAAACTTCAAATATCAGATGCAGTCCTATTGAAAACAAACAATCATTTAGACTACAAAAGATCCCCTTTTCCTTTTTAATCGAATTCCCACATTAAGTTGACAGAAATATTACTCCACAATATGTTTTACATTACCTAGTACATTTCCCATCTAAACATAATTACCCTAGAGATTGAATTGATGACAAATTCTACTACACCCAAATACGCAGCAAATCCAAACTAAAAATGAAATAATATTCAACATAACCATAAAAATTTCACCTTTGAGAAACCGAAAAAATACCTAGAGTGTTCCAAAGCTTGATGGTACGATCCCTAGACGCCGACACGATCTGGCGATTGTCAACAGAGAAAGCAACAGAGAGTACGTCCTTGGTATGGCCCACGAACCTCCTCGTAGTCGCCCCAGTGTTCAGGTCCCAGAGCCTGAGCTCGCCCCAGTGTTCATGTTGTTGTCGGCGATTGGGACTCCATTAATGGGTTAGAGAATCCATGGAATTAGAGTTTTTTGGCAGAGATTTCGGAACTGGGGAGGGTCAGGAGGAGAGAGCAGAGCTCGAAGAAGAGATTCGATTGGTGGTCGTCGTCGTCGATGCCATTGGAGTTCATCATCGTTTGAAATCCGAAACCCAAACCCTAGCTTTGGTCCCTAATTTTAAAGCGGTGGAGGGAGTGATTAACAACAGAGAGGAGCGAGAGAGAATCAGAGGGAGGGGTGTTATTGGATTGGGAGAGGGGGGATTTTCGCTGGGATCGAGGTGGGTGGATAGGCTTCAGGAAAATTTCGTTCGAAATTTAAGCGGGGAAACAAAATTTAGGAATGAAATTTTTCAGAAAGCGCGAACTATCGTGGACCCACCTTCCTAGACGGAATTTCCGTCTAGGATGCATCCTATACGGAAATTTCCGTCTAGGATACTAAAACCGTTAAGAATAATATTATAGACAGAAATTTCTGTCTACAATATTTTTTTCTAGACGGAAATTTTTCGTCTAGTTTAATAGCAAACTAGACGAAAAAATTTCCGTCTAGGATATTCCGTCTAGGATGTGTGATTTTCTACTAGTGGTTGTCGGTTACTTGTTGCTTGTGAGCTCATGGTTACTTGTTTGTTGCTGGTTAGGTATTTGTTGCTGGTTACTTGGTTGCTTGTGAGCTCATGGTTACTTGAGCTGTTGCAAAATTCATCTGGGGGTATTTGTTCAAGTGTTTTTTGAGCTAATGACTTCATTGTTTACAAGCTATACGTGGGTTTTTTGAGTTTTTCGAATTTAGCTATGGTGATTGGTCACATATTGATATTGCTGACTACAATGGAATTTCATTGTTTACAGGAGGCGTTCATGAATGAGAATGCAGTCTATATTGCATTTGCAATTATTAGTTGAGGCAGTCCATTATTTGAATGCAATCTGCAATGTAATTTTATTATATAGGTGTTGAAAATAAAATGACCATTTTCTGTGCCTCTATGTTATTATTTATTTTTGCATTTTATTATTTACATTGTTTAGGGTTATTTTATGACCGTTTATAGCCGTTGGAGTATAAATTTGAATAAATATGCTTACCCCAATTGAATACATTTGTATTTGTTTTTTTTGTGGGAGGTAAGCTCACCAAAGTTCTTATATTCACCATTTATTTTTTTGTTAATCTAAAATTTGTTTGCTACAACTATGGATTTCAAATTCCAAAATTTGTAATGCTATAATTTGAGTTTGAAACAAACAAAATATTAAAAATTATAATATTCCAAATTCCAAAATATTGTTGAAATAAACAAAGTTTTAGGAATCTCAACTCATAATAAAACACCTATGGATTTGAAACCTCATGGTAAAATTCATATTCTAAAATTATAGGATTTGAAACAAATACCCCAAAAGAAAAGTGTAGCCCCTCCTCATGTGTTCGTTGCCTCCAGTCTCCTCTCTTTAAGTAGTGGCCAACTGTCTGCCATTTCACCATTGATTTGACGTTCGTGTCTCCCTCTCATCACCTGCAATGAATCTACAATATTGGAGACATAAAGAATAGGTCAGACTAGTTAGTGATCTTTTTCTTTTCTAGGAATAAATTTTTATTGCTATTTACACTTGAATCCTAGAACTATATCTTCTTACCCTATTTTCCCTCGGTTTAAAGAGATACAGAAGTTCTCCTGACTTATATGTGTTTATTATCTGTAAAATTGCAAATATTGAATATAAGGAACACCCGACAATTTATTGTCGTTTTCAACATTGCAAAAGAAACAAGGATGACTTCACTACTTTCGTTCAACTCTTCATCATTTTGTTCTTTGGTTACAAAAAAGTTTTTCACACTTTATCTCAAATTAACATAGGTATAGTATTACTTTATGAGCTTTTAGTTTTGGGAAAAATGTGTCTAGGCCCCAAAAACAGAAACTTCATGTGCTGCAGCCCCTCCTAGTTTCCCCCATGTGGTTCAGCCCCTTGAAGTGTGACATTTTGTGCTGCAGCTCCTTTTTAGCAATTATTACATGCCAGCTAAGCTAAAATCCCCAAAATAACTTTATCCCCTCTCCTCAATCCTTCAAACTCAGTTCTCTCACTCTCTCTCTTCTCTCTCTTTAAAACCAAGGGCTTTCTCAAGCTCGTCACCCTATTCCTCGCCCTCCTCGCCGTCGCCGCCTCTGCCTAGGCACCTAAGCCTCCCCCGAGTTCGCCACCGCCTCCCCTCCTCTCCTCCGCCCGACCTCGTCGCCGTAGCTCGCCGCCGCTCCCCGCCTCGCCCTCGACTACGTCGGAGGAGGATGACCAAGTAAAAAGAGTGCATGATGCCCAAGAAAAGTGAAAATGAAGGGGCTGCAGGCACAAGACCACTCTTTTTTTTTGGAATTTTATGAGAAGCCACTGCTTGTTAAGGAGATTGTTAGTCAAGATGGCGGAGAGATGCCTGTTGGGTTTGAATTTTAAAGAGCTGATCTTAGTGCTGGAGCTGAGGAAGGAGATGGCGAAGGTTTTTTTGATAAATTTGATGTTGGTATTCTTATCTTTGCTTGGATTTTGTCATGGAGTATTCTCCCTGAAGAAATGTTGAATGCCTTAACTTGCAGTAATTTGATGCTAAAATTTGATGTTGGTATTCTTATATTCGCTTGGATTTCGTGTTCGTGTTAGTTCTAACTCATGTTAGTTCTAACTCAGTTCATGTTAAAATAGTTAGTTCTAATTTAGAACTAACAAGAAATGAGTTAGAACTAACAGGAACTGAGTTAGAACTAACATAAACCCAGTTAGACCTAACATGAGTTAGAACTAATTGGAAAGCTGGAGTCGTGCTTAAGCCGTGAAATGCCGCGTGCGATGTCCTCAAGGAAGCAAAACACTTAAATAATTTGATTTGCATATAAGTTCTCGTGAGTAATATCATAGATTAAACAATCTTGATAGTTGTCCTTTTTATTTTGATTTGCATATAAGTTGGCTCCATAACCCGTATAATAGGTATCCAAACCAATG